CCACCACTGTCCTCCACCACTGTCCTCCACCACTGTCCTCCACCACTGTCCTCCACCACTGTCCACCATTGTCCTCCACCACTGTCCTCCACCACTGTCCTCCACCACTGTCCTCCACCACTGCCCTCCACCACTGTCCTCCACCACTGTCCTCCACCACTGTCCTCCACCACTGTCCACCACTGTCCTCCACCACTGTCCTCCACCACTGTCCTCCACCACTGTCCTCCACCACTGTCCTCCACCACTGTCCTCACCACTGTCCTCCACCACTGTCCTCCACCACTGTCCTCCGTCCAGTGCCACACAGAGCCATGTGTACACACACAAATTATTGTATTGGATGAAGACTAAAATAAGGGATCCCGGTATTACAGTGGGCCTCGTTCTCGACGTACAGTCCAGAATTCTGAGTTCGAATCCCGGGCGGGAGAGAAATGATTGGGCCCATCTCCTTTCACCTAATGCATATGTTCACCTAGCAGTAAGTAAATACTCAGGAGTTAGTCAGCTCCTGGGGTTGCATCCTAGTCGGGGTTAGTAATTTGACTCTACGAGGGGGGGGGGGGGCTAGATAAAATCCTAACGTGTATGAATACACTCTGGCTTCCTGTCCCCGACACAGTGAATTAATTATTAATTATAAGGCGCGTCTACTGTAGATAAAATGGTGAGCTATGGCAAATAATAATTTCATTATTTGAGATATTTCTTAAATTTTTATTACATATCTATGAGTTGTGTTCAGCATCAAAATGTCACTATTATACGTGTTGTATATTAAATCACTAATAATGCAACCCGTCCTCTTAAAAATAACGTCACTTTTGGCTCGTATGCGCGCTATGGCTAAATTTGGACGTAATTTGAAATGAAATCGACTCACAAAAGTGACGTACTGTTCCGTTTTCTGTTTGAGTCGTCCGGCTTACTCGGTAAGGTTAGAAGAGGAAACTTTCTATTAACATTTTTCTTACTGTTTTGAAACTTTAGGAGAATTTCCTGCCCACCTAACCTATCAGAGGACCCTTAACTTAATGTTGTTGAAAAAAATCCCAAATTTATTTTCATTTTTTTTTTCATTTTCAAATTACGTCCACTTTCGGCCATACGGGTAAACGGCCAAAAGCGACGGCATTAATACTTTAATGCCGTCGCTATATTTTTAAGAGGATAATATTTTATTTTATTTTAATTAATATTTTTAAGCTAATATTTTTAAGAGGACAGGTTGTAGGGTATAATATAACAAGTGAAGTGGCAACCTCGCACGCTAACCTGTGTTTCTTCTTACGTCCGCCAGGTGTCAGCACGGCGCCCCCACCGCTGCCAGACGCCGCCATTATCAGGTAACATCTATTGACAACTTTCCTCTCATGCGTAAAAGACTCAATGACCCTCATAAGCCACGTAGCTGCTGTTGATGATGGGAAATTATCAAATATGGAAAGATTGACGGTGTTGTGTGTTCGTTGGGACGGAAGTTGTCTCTCGTCACTACACACACACACACACACACACACACACACACACACACACACACACACACACACACACACACACACACACACACACACACACACACACACCATCATCCTCTACCCCGTATATAAGTGTTGGAGTATCTCAGTATATAAATGTGTACCTCATGTGTGGCCCTGAAGTGCGGGGTATTTATTGGTTAAGTCACGTGGGAGTGTGTGGAGCTGGGAGCACCTCGCGTGACTGCACAGTGGCGTCCTAAGCAGATTCTGGAAGGTGTGTTGGAGGGTCTCCCAGAGTGTATAGAAAATGGGAGCCTAATGCCTAACTTGTAAGAAAATGTTTATTTCCCTCACTTTGCTTTTTTAACCACGACTGTAATATTTTGAAATTTAACTATTTTCAATACGAATGCGGGCGAATGTGTCTTTTTCCTTCATATAAAGTCGGAAAAAACATATGAATCGAAAATACCCTGGATTTATAATAGTTATACAAAAGGGACGACAAGAGATTTAGAAGTGAGTACTGTTTCCAGATTTATTTTTTTTTCTTCGAGATATACAAGAGTTGTTACATTCTTGTACAGCCATTAGTACGCGTAGCGTTTCGGGCAGGTCCTTAATCCTATGGTCCCTGGAATACGATCCCCGCCGCGAAGAATCGTTGTTACAACCAAGTACTCATTATACTGTTGCGTTAAACAGAGGCTACAGTTAAGGAATTGCGCCCAGTAAATCCTCCCCGGCCAGGATACGAACCCATGACATAGCGCTCGCGGAACGCCAGGCGAGTGTCTTACCACTACACCACGGAGATTTACGATTATAATGTCAATTACAGTGATGAATCCGCTCGTATTTGTAGTGTTTCATCATGGTGATGTTACACTGTCCCTGCTGGTGACCTTCACACCACATTATCTTAGTGGTCGTCTTCCTCCTCCCTGTGTGCGCCAATGTTCTTAAATAGATCAAGATGAGCATCAAGGATATGGACTTTGAGGGGGACATCTTGCAGCCCCTTGTGCTGTAGTTCTTCATCAGAGTGTTGACCAACTCTATACAGTTTACGGTCTTGTGAGTGCCCAAGATGTTCCAAATCTAGTGAACTTCTTGGGGAATTCCTAGCACTCTAGGATCTTCTTTACCTCTGGTCCGACGAAGACATTGGGTTTTAATTAAGAAATTTAATTTAAGAAATTAGTGAAATCCTAAAAAAGCAGTATGAGGACATGTTTAGCACTCCAATAAACAACATGAAGGTGGAAGATCCAGACAATTTCTTTATGCGGGATATTCAAACCCCTGTAAATATAACTGATATAAACACGAGCGCACTAAATTTTGAAAAAGAAATTGAAAACATGCCCATGCACTCGGCCCCAGGTCCAGACTCATGGAATTCAATATTTATAAAGAAATGCAAAGTGCCGGTAGCACAGGCACTCAGTATAGTGTGGAGGAAGAGCTTGGACACGGGGGAGATACCAGATGCACTTAAAGTAGCAGACATAGCCCCTCTACATAAGGGAGGGAGCAAAGCATTGGCAAAAAATTATAGACCAGTTGCACTAACATCGCAAATCATAAAAGTATTTGAGAGAGTGATTAGGAGTCAGGTCACCAATTTCATGGAGACCAATGACCTTCACAACCCAGGCCAACATGGATTTCGAGCGGGAAGATCGTGCCTCTCACAGCTACTTGAGCACTACGACAAAGTCACTGAGGCATTAGAAGAGAAACAGAATGCTGATGTGATATACACGGACTTCGCAAAGGCTTTCGATAAATGTGACCATGGCGTGATAAGCACACAAAATGAAGTCAATGGGAATAACCGGTAAAGTAGGACGCTGGATACTCAGTTTTCTGTCAAACAGGACTCAGCGAGTAACTGTCAACCAAATAAAATCTAGTCCAAGTGCAGTGAAAAGCTCTGTACCTCAGGGTACAGTCCTTGCACCGCTGCTTTTCCTTATTCTCATATCAGATATAGACAAAAATACAAGTCACAGCTTCGTATCATCCTTTGCAGATGACACAAAAATCAGTATGAAAATTACCTCGACTGAGGACATTGAAAAACTTCAAGCTGATATTAATAAAGTTTTCGACTGGGCCTCAGAAAATAACATGATGTTTAACAGTGATAAATTCCAGGTACTCAGGTACGGTAAAAATGAGGACCTTAAACATAATACAGAGTACAAAACACAATCAAATGTGCCCATAGTAGGAAAACAGCATGTAAAGGATTTGGGAATAATAATGTCTGATGACCTAACGTTTAAGGAGCATAACCAAGCAAATATTGCGACAGCCAGAAAAATGATAGGATGGATTACGAGAACTTTCAAATCCAGGGATCCTATCACAATGGTTGTACTCTTCAAGTCACTTGTGTTGTCCCGTCTTGAGTACTGTTCAGTACTCACTTCCCCCTTCAGAGCAGGAGAGATTGCTGAAATAGAGGGAATACAGAGAACATATACGGCACGCATAGATGCAATAAAGCACCTAAATTATTGGGATCGTCTCAAAGCCCTCCAAATGTACTCACTGGAAAGAAGACGAGAGAGATATCAAATAATATACACCTGGAAGATACTGGAGGGCCAAGTACCAAATCTACACAGTAAAATAACAACGTACTGGAGTGAACGATATGGAAGAAAATGTAGAATAGAACCAGTGAAGAGCAGAGGTGCCATAGGCACAATCAGAGAACACTGTATAAACATCAGAGGTCCGCGGTTGTTCAATGTCCTCCCAGCAAGCATAAGAAATATTGCCGGAACAACCGTGGACATTTTCAAGAGGAAATTAGATTTATTCCTCCAAGGAGTGCGGACCAACCGGGCTGTGGTGGGTATGTGGGCCTGCGGGCCGCTCCAAGCAACAGCCTGGTGGACCAAACTCTCACAAGTCGAGCCTGGCCTCGGGCCGGGCTTGGGGAGTAGAAGGACTCCCAGAACCCCATCAACCAGGTATCAACCAGGTAACCAGGGTTTAAACTTTGCCTCAGACTACTGAGGGAGAGTCTTGAAGGTACTTGAAGGCTGCCAACTCCTTATCTAGAGCTGTTACAAATTAATTAAGAAGACGTAATTTGATGTGCAGTGGCGGCGTGGACCCCTGGAAGAATTTACTGGTATCTCTTTAAGAAAAGTGCTTCGACTCTTGAGCTTGGCAATGCCACACTCGACACAATGGGAAGCTTTTCTTTTCGAATAGTTCATGGTGAGCAGAAGTGA